AACATCAGGAATGAATCCTAATGTAAAACATAGACTTGATTGATAATTTGGTGCCAATTTGGAATCATTGACTACAGCCAATGTATCCCAAGATGAAAAGTGATAATTGCGTAGGACTCTGTGCATGTGGGAAAAATAAAGTATATGAAAACTATTTTCCACTCAATTCTGCTACAAGCCTAAAACTATTCTAAAAACAAAATTCTAATTTAGGTAATGTACAAGTATTGAGAATGTTTGTTAAATCAGACTTTAAAATAATTAATAAAATGTGACTATAATGTTCAATAGTGACAAGAACTAGTTAAAATCATTAGAGTAATAAGACATGTGCTATTATAGATTTTCTTTAAGTATTTTGCACTTCTCTTATGCAAAGCAGAGAAACACCTGCAGCCATCTAAATGAAGAACATGTTAGAAAACGAAATGTTCTGTCCTGCAATGCTATTTAGAAGCAACTCACCTTGGGCAATCACTTCACCTGTCTACATTCTGCGTCATCATTTGTAACACATGTGCTCCCTGCAGTGTGCCTAGCACAGTGCCAGTTTCACAGCGAACATTACAGAAACAGCAGTTACCAGTCTAACTTAAACCACACGGACTATATAACATCACTTTCAGCTCCAAAATATTTTGTGATTCCACACACCACTATTTTACAAAAGACTGAAATACTAAAGCATTAATAATAGTCACATTTGATGATCATTTGTGTACGGATGACATAAATCAAAGATGAACAAGAAATGAAGCTAGCCAGTCAAAAGACAAGCAGAGGAATTAGATACCACTTTACGGTTATTAGAGGAAGAAACTGTCAAGAGAAAATCCAAAATACCAGAATTTACCTTTTCTTTTGCCAAACCACTTTCTGGAAAGAACACAGAAAGTGAATATTCATAGCCACATCTTTGTAAGTGATCTGCCACCAGCGAGTTAGAAGCGCCTATTAGGAGGGCACTCCCTTCCACTGAAATGGACGGAGGCTTCACTTCTCCACTCAATACAGGATGCATCAATTCATGAATTAGCTGTTTTCGGAGTTGTGTCTAGTGAGAAACAGAAAAAAAAGAAAAAAAGAAAGACAAAAGGAGATACATTTTACCAGAATAGAAACACACACAGATCTGCCACATCAATTGAATTCTTTCTTTCATTTTCAAAATGAATCTAGATCCATGCGCAAAAAGTAGGAAGCATTCTTTCACAATTTATCTTATCCCTAAGTGGGCTTGGACAAAAACTTTCTTTTCCCAGTTCCTACACCCACCATCCATAGACCATAATTTGACATCTCTAAAAGCAATTTCAGCTCTTTATGATGAAGAAATTAAGCCATGTGAAAAAATTTGCCACTTCATCTCAACTGGATTGTGGCAGTCTAGGATTCAAATAAACTGGGAAATTCAAGGTCATCCTTGGCTCTATAAATAGTTCAAGACCAATCTGGGCTACAAAGACCCTGTCTCAAAAAACAAAGTAGTTAAAAGTATCTGTTTTATAATCATGGGAATTGAAGTTTAGATTCTAGTACTTATAAAACAAGCCACCTGGGTGTTCTGTCAACACAAGGGATGAGACAGCCTGTTCTGGTCTGCCTGCATATACAAACACACACACATATACATGCACTCAGGCAGACATATATAAAATAAATCTTAAAAATATACAGTAGTATGAAAGGGCAGTTTTCACAAAATGGGAAAGAAACTCAAAGTATGAGAGAAAAGATTTGTGTCACACACATCTCAGAAATGGATTAACTAGACCAAATATAAACAAATGATTTGACAAGTTTCATTTAATATATACCTAAACTGGATTAGTAGAAGATGCCTGTAATCCTAACACTAGAAAGGTTGGGGCAGGATGATCCCCACGAGATTGAGGCAGGATAGTGAGACACTGTCTCAAAAAACCACCAATTATGACAAAACCCACAAAATAAACAAAAACACCCTATACCTAAATGACTTTGTAATTGACTATAAATACAAATTCATATCAAATAATAAAACAATATAAACTAAACCACTAAAAATTCTATAAAATTTAAAAGTTGTAGCTTAATCTATATCAGTCATTGAATTTAGAAAGCAAAAATTAGCTAAGTTTGAGAAAATGTCATCCAGTTGGGCTAATAAGAGACTAAATAGCCAGCCATGCTATAGCTGTGAAGTGAAGAAGGCTAGCACAAAAGGGCTACAGACAAAGATACCCATTGGTCAATACCAAATAAAATTGAGATGTGAGGTAAAGGACTATCAAGTCTAATCTGCAATGTGACATAACCAGAAATGAAAAGATTCTTCTATATTATAGATTAATAAAATGTAATCAATCCAGGTGGTTGAATCCAGTATCACTAATGGGGGAGTGAGTTGACAAAAGATAAAGCCTTTCTAACATTTCAAATGAGAGAGCTGGGGAGAGGGCTCGTTGCTAAAATACTTGCTGTGCAAACATAAGAAGCAGACTTCAATCCCTAGCATGTACATCAAAAGCTAGGCATGGTGCTGAATGTTTGAAATCCCAGCCCCGGGGAGATGAAGACAGGAGGACACCTGTCTTTATTCACCTTGATAGCCAACCAGCCTACCCTTATCAGTGATCCTTGATCACAAAACACAAAGTGGATGGCTCATAAAGACAGAAATATGCACATATGCATATGCAACTACATACACAGGAGCCAGAACACACAAGGGCCCACATCCCCAAAAGTAAATATTCAATGACGTGAGAATAAAAAAAATTTAGTTTGACTATATAAAATTAGGCATATTTTTAAAGCCAAATAGAACACAAATCAATAGCTTCTATTAATAGAGCTCTTAAAATATTATCACCCTAACCATTCTCATGGAAAAACAGATATAAACAGGCAGAAAAGTACAATGAACTTAATAGTCAAAGAAATGATCGAAGCAATGAGATTTTTTTTTCAGTGTTACACTGTTAAAAGGTGTCAAGGCAACACTGAAATATATTACCAAACTGCTTGTGAAATATAAACTGTAAAAACCATTTCAGACCCAGATACATACACTGGTATACCCCAGGGCATAATGGCACTGGCCTGTAATCCCAGCACTCAAGAGGCAGAGGCAGAACACTGCAAACCTGCAAAACCTACTCTTTCTCAGAAATGGGATTTCTCTATGCTAGACAGAAAATGACAGGCACAATAGATCATGTGTAGACTTTAGTAGAAGCTAAGGATTCAAATAGTAGAAAGTTACCTATGTGATGTTTGACTAACCAGGATGAATCTGTTGCCGCTAAAAGCAAGGATTTCAAGCAACTTGAGCAAACAGAGAAAGGCTCATCATATAATGTAAATTTTAAAATGATACATACACCTTATACCAGTTTATGGTTATCAAAGATGATTCTCCCTTCTGCTTTCTTTGTATTTTCTAGACAAGTCTTACGTATTTTATGAAGTTAATAAAACAATAAGAGTGGAAAAAATCAGGCTCGCCTTTCCTTAATTTCCAATTCTAAATGTAAAACATATTTCTGAAAGACCTATTGTAATGAAACACATTGAACTAACTCATTCCACACTTTGCTGTTACCCAAATTTAAGGTGCACTAGTACATATTTGCTACTCACAGTAAATATTCACTCTAATATATTCTATTTTTATTTACTATTATTGACACAGGGTCTGACTACACAGTCATGACTGACCTGAAACTGGCTAGCTGGCCGAGGCCGCCCTCAAATCAGAGATGCGCTTGCCTCTGCTTCCCAAGTGCTGGGATTAAAGAAAGGCATGCGACATTCCAGTATAGATTAAAAAAAAATCCATTTCTCAAAACTGTTACACAATAAGCAATAACTTCTTCATATTTGTCTATGCAGTGTCATCAAGAGACTCTAAAGCCACCTATTCTGAAAAGTGTACATCTACGGAGTTTATTGTTTTTTAGTTAGCAAAGAAATAACAGGTCTCATTTTGTGTACACTGTTGTGCTCTGCTCATATTCACCTTCCCGTCACTCTCCCCACCCTGTCCTGTCCCCACAATTGTCCCCCTTCTGCTTTCATTACATATACATAACAGGGTCAAATCTAGATTGTAAACAAGATTTGTAACAGCACCTCAGACTTATTACAATGTTTTCACTATATACATGCTATGTGCTACCTTAATGTTGGTTCAATAAACCTATTATATGGTTTTTAAGACGACTGAAACTCAACATTTTCAAAATGTAGCTCACCGATACAATCTATATTTTAGTGATTTTGGAATCCAAGCCCTGGCTGAATTTAAATGTGGAACTACCTACTGTCAGAGGTTACACTCATGAAACTAAGGACAGCCATGCCTAAATCTGATACCTTAAGTGTGTCCAGTATACCCCGATCCTTAAACGTCTGGTACAGCTTTTTGCGCAGTTCATCTTGACTCAACACATCACACTTGAGGGACATGGCGGACTGGAAGAGAAAATGATGAGTTACCTAGCGGCAAAGGAAACCTGGATTTCAGAAATCAGACCAGTGGCCTCCCGGAAAGCCCTTAGACGCTTAACGAAGCTCTAACGAACATAAACAAGGGACCTGCTTTCTTACAGACCCCTGGGAAGTGGCAGGTGGAACTACCTGAGCCATCGTTATCTGCTTCCTCCCGAGATCGCCCCTCTACGGCCAGGCTCCGTGGTCAGGGCAGGCCGCGGGTGGAGAGGGAGCCCCTGATCTCCGAGACCAACCTGTCTCTGGGGACCTGGGGGAACAAGGGAGCTGAGCACTCAGACCGGTACCCCGGCACGCAGGCGCACTTCCTCCCGCAGGGCGAAAGGGTGGGCGGGGCCGTGACCCAGGAGAGATTCTGCACCAGAGAAAGACGGAGACCAGAAGCGGCCGCTCAAAAGACAGTTTCCACAGCACCACAGTTAACGCCAACGCCGCTCTCTCGCTGTCTGCCGGTTCAAAGCACCGGACAAACGGACCCGCCACGGGTTGGAGCACTGTGACGCACGCGCGAGCTCAGGCCGGCCGCTCCCGCCACGTCTCGCGAGAGTATGGCCCCAGATCTCGCGTGAGTGACTCTGGGTTCCCCGGCTGAAAGTACCAAGCGCGGGTTCCCGAGGCGGGCGTTTCTGCTGTTGGCGTTTCCCTACAGGTAGGATTTGGAAGGAAGTGGAGGGCGGGTGCTCCGGGTCCGCGAGGGACGTCCCAGACCCCGCGTGATGCGGACGCTGTCTTGTACCTCGGTCCTACCCTGACTCGGCACATCAGAGCCAGCCCCCGGGGCCGCTTAATTACAGTTCTCCCAGTAGACACAGCCCCGGTTTCCACGTGGAAACGACCTCCACGCCCTTAGAGGCTTGGCGTTCTCGAGGTCAGTCAGGTAGTTAATCCAGTGTGTCTTTGCTGCCGTGCCACTGCAGTGGTCGGTTCCCATGAAATGCCTGTAGTACCCTATCTCCGCACACACGTGTCTCCGGACTCTTGACAGATGCTCTCAGAAGCAAAAATCGCATCTTGTTGAGAATCACAGAGTTTAATTTTATAGGAAAAAAAAAAAAACTCACTGTGTATGTGCTGTGAGAAAGATAAAGATGAGCCAAGTGCCCAGGATGCCTAGCTCAGATTATAAAGATCCGGTCGTGGTGGCTCGTCTGTCATGCCAACACTGGGAAGACTGAGACAGGAGTATTGCTTAAAGTTCGAGGTCAGTTTCGGCTATGATGTGCCTAAAGAAGAAAATGGGAATCTGGGACTGGGGAATGGAGCTCAGTTGGTTAAGTACTTGCTTGTCATACACAGAGGCCTGGATTAAATTTCAGGCACTGCATTGAAAACCAAAAACCACAGTATTGGTGGAGACAGAAGGATCAGAAGTTTAAGATTATCCTTCACTACATAGAGAGTTGGACACCAGTCTAGCGTAAATGAGACCCTATACCAAAAAAAGAAAAGAAATAAGGCTAATGGGAAAGAAAAGAAACCAGAATCCCCAGAAGCAAGAGTGAAAACCATTACAGCCAGTGAGCTAAATGATGACTAAGACGTCTTGAGGATGGGATAGTTTAGCAAGAAAGCTGATTGCAGGTGGAAGTGATTGAGGACATCTCTATGGGGAAAGTGTGATTTTATTTTTCAGTGCCTTGACTGGTAACATTTGGATAGTGAACAAAAAAAGATGAGCATCACAGGAAGGGGGGAATAGGCAGAGGACTAATGCCAGGGCTCACCTGGGGCCCTGGAGATTCTAGCCTGGCCCTGAGTTATGTGCTGGGGATGTTAGGTAGCTAAGGTCTATGAAGATGCTATTGGGTCATTGTTAAAGCTAACGGCACAAAGGAGTACAAAGAGTTTTGATGTGTAGCTGTAAAAAAAAAATAAAAATAAAAGTTGAGGGGTGGCAAGAATAGTTAGCAGACTTTATTGGAGTTGAACGAGCTTTGCGGGTTTTTTTTTTTCATTTTTGTTTGTTTTGGACAGTTAAAGAAGTTGGAGTGTAAATGATGAATTAAGGATGCGCACAGAATTAGGGACAGCATTTAAGTGTGAAGGATCTTGAGTGGATATAGTCAAAGTGAGTTTGAAGTAAGTAGACTGGCCCACTCCAGCAGAAGTGAACAATAGGATTGAGAAGCAACATAGGGAACAATATAGGAGGCCCCATGTTGAATACTGGTACATGATTACATAGCTGAGAGGCATTAAAGCTTTTGAGCAGAATAGTGAAGTATATTCTAAAATGATGCTGATGTGTTACGAACACTGTTTTAAAATAGCATCAGTGCCCAAAGATATTTGAACTCTTCTCCACTGTCTTTGATCCCCAAATTAAAAAGAAGTAGATTTAGTGGTCTCTAAAAGTCAACCTACACTCACTTGGGAATGAGGGCATTGCTTCTGACTTTATAGGGCCATTTTCCCATTGGAGATCTGTCAGTAATGTTCATATAGCTTCTCATTGCACCAGATATGTTCCGTGTGATGCCAGTTTAGTTTTACAGCCCTTATTCATTTGTGGAACAAATGAAGCTACTGCTGTCAGGAGCACAAGGAAGTTTCTAGACATTCCTCCAGAGACTGTAGAGAGATTTGCTATAAAAATGGATGGCTTTGAACTGGGGTGAGTGAATTTTATCTGTATTACCTGTAATTTAAAATGCATAACTTGGAAAGGATTTCTAAGTTCATCCCTCCCGTTTGCACTGGTGGTCTAACACTGTCATGCATTTTAGCGTCCTACTAACTGCAGATGACAGCTCTGGGTTTGTCCTCTAAAGCCATTTAGAATAAGTCTGTCAAGTCCAGAGTTAGCAAGTGGTTGGCCTCATGCACATTCTGTACCCACAGCTGCCATGAATAATTGATCCCAGTCATTCACTGCTGACCACACTTTTTCTCAGCACCAACTCCTGGCAGTCATACTATCTGATTAGGTTTCTGCCCCCCATCCTAACCCCTCACTTTGAAATAGGGCCTCTCTGTGTAGACCTGGCTGTCCTCAGTCTCATGTGGATGGTTGTGTTGGCTTAAACTCACAGAGCTCCACCTGTGTCTGACTTCCAAGTGCTAGAATCAAAGGTATATGCCACCACACCCAGAAGTGGAAATCTCTTTTATTCCTTAATTACCTGCTAATAAGCTCATAATAGCTGTCTTGTATTTGAATGTGGTAAGTTACCTTCAAGTTACTGAGTAAGTGTTAGGCATGATAGGTCAGGCCTACCATCTGAGCACTCAGGATACTGAAACAAGAGGATCATGAGTTCAGAGCTGACCTGGGCCACAGTAAGATCCTGTCTCCAAAATTAAAAATAAAATAAAACCTTATTGGTCCAAATGCCTATGTGGACTAGGTTAAGGTCATTCTCGAAATCTCCCTGGAGACATTGTACCATAAATTGGCATAGACACTCAGTGTTCCTGGGTATTAATGCTAAGTCATCTGTAAGTCACCCCTTATTCAGCAAATAATGAGTGCTTGCTGGCCCTTTGGCACTGTTGTAACCCTGGGGATACCATAGAGAATAAGAACAGTGTGTCTGTTCTCATTGAGGGTGCCTTTCTATCACGCAGGCTATAGGTCTCCAGTGCATTCTTACATAGATACTAAAATAACCCAGAAAGTTTGCTACCCACTTGCTACATTTCCTTTGCAAAGCAGAATAGTTTGATGTGGTTTGTTCTTAGTTTAAGCAGAGAATGTGCATGAATAATAACTCATTTTAGTGGTGGTGGTTTTTTGTTTCATTTTGTTTTTTTAATTTATACTGAATGAGCTACTGTACAGAAAAGGGTCCTAGCATGGTCTCTGACCAAAACCAGCCAGGCAATACCTATTTGTGTTGGTGTTTTTGTCTCTGGATATACCCAGTTAGAGCTGAGGACATAACACTTTTACCTGTTTTTGAAAATAGGAATAACATTTACCTATCTCTTAGCATATAGAGCCTTTCTGTGCCTAAGATTTCTTTAGTGTCACGTAACAATAGATGTAGATTTGTTGCTCCAAGCTATATAATTTGCCAGGACCTGAAGACTTGTTTGAATTGAAATACCTAGGTCTTGAAGTTTGCATTCTGCCCAGCCTGGCTTGTTACTGAGAAGTCACGCTTTGTAACAGAAAATAGAAATTAAGCAGATTTTCATCTTCAGTTATTTCAGTGTATACATAGTGCTAGAAGCCCTGCTTTTCCTAATGGTAACCTACAAAGGCATTTGCTTTTCTTAACATAGTTTACACACTTCAGTTCTTTTTGTTTGGTTTGGTTTTGGTTTTGATATTTCGAGAAAGGATTTCTCTGTGTAACAGTCCTGGCTGTCCTGGAACTTGCTTTGTAGACCAGGCTGGCCTTGAACTCACTGAGATCCACCAGGCTCTGCCTCCCAAGCGCTGGGATTAATAGTGTGTGCCACCACTGTCTGGTTTTGGTTCTTTTTTGATTTTGCTCTTTTCTGCTGTGGCTGTCTTTGAATCCATGATCTGCCTGCCTTAGCTTCTGCAGTGCCAGGATTGCAGTGCCTGGCTTAATCTCTGTATTTGAGGTCAGCTTCAGGGGTCTCCAGGACATTGAAGAAAAGGAGCAGACACCGAGGGGAGGAGGGGTGCTGGAGAGATGGCTCAGAGGTTAAGAGCACTGGCTGCTCTTCCAGGGGTCCTGAGTTCAATTCCCAGCAACCACATGGTAGCTTACAGTACATGCCAGAACACTGCATACATAATAAATAAAAAAATAAATATTTTTCAAAAAAGAAAAGGAACAGACACATACATTGGTCAACACAGATACTTTTAAGCACGGCTGTTACTTTGTGCTTGTTTGTTTGTTAGTTCCCATTTTGAGATAAGATCTCACTACATAATCCAGGCTGGCCTCAGAGCCACAGTGGCTCTCCTGCTCCAGCCTCCCAAGTGCTGGGGAAATGGGAATGAGACAGCTTGTATTGTTTTATATGTTGGAACTCTAAATAGTAGTACTTGTTTTGTTGGTTGAGAAGGTGCAGAGGTTTTAGAAAGTTTAGAATAGTTGATCTAAAGTTGAGCTATTCTGTATTAGAAGTGCTAGCCCCACACAGATACTTAGTTCAAACCAATAAATTAAAAATTCAGTTCTGCAGTTAAATTAGCTACATTTCAAATGCTTACTGGCTTCCATATTAGACTATATGGTTGTACAACATTTTTACCTTGGCAGAAAGTACATTAGTGTGGACAACATAGGTTTGTGTCACCTTTGCCCAGTGACACCTTTATCCAGTGCGAGGTAAGCCTAAGAATAGTTGCTAAAAGATTGTAGGTGAGTCTGGATGCTGCTGCATGACTTCTCTTACATATAGGATCTAGGTTGAATAACATTTGCACATAAAAGTAGAAGTGGGGACTATTTGAGAGAGCATATTAGCAAAAAGTAAGCAATGAGGTGGTGAGGAAGTGGGGATGATTGAAGTGCATTGTGCATGCATGAGGATGTCCTAGGAAAGCCATTGTTTTGTACATTTAATATGTTCCAAGGGAAAGAAGCTCCGTCTCACTGCCCAGATGGATAAGTTGTAAGAGAACCCTCATGTCTGTCTTTTGGTTCCTATTTTTATCTCATGCTATCCTTAGACACTTTGCTTCTTTAGCATCTGCACATCCCATAAAGGACCAAGTGTGGGGCATGATGTGGGTTATCTTTCTTGTGCATGCACTTCCTTCTGCTGCCTGCAGGCCCCCTCCTATGCTGTTGCTGCTTATATGTGTGCTGAGTAAAGCAAATCCTTCACTTGACCTACTGAAGACCTACAGCCTTGCAACCTATTCTAGCAAGAATTCATGCTATGATTGTTTACTTGGTTCAGATTCCAAGCTCTCTACCTTTCCTTTTCTCTGCAACTACTACCAAGTATCCCTAGCTTTGCATAGCTTTTCTGTCAGACCTGCTTATCTTTGTTACCCACTTTTATTTTTGGGCCCTTTTCTTATCTAAATACTTCTGGCTGTGTGTGCTAGATAGTCTCTGTTGCCGATGTTCAGCTCTTCCATTGAAGGGCAAAAGCAGTTTTTAGACCATAGTAAAAGGATGCCTGAGGTTAAATTTTGGCCTGCAATCTGCAGGTGTAGGCCCCTGTCCCAGATAATGTTCTAAATCTTAACTGTGTCCAAAGAGTCTCTTACTTGTCTCCCACAATCGTAGCCTTCCATTTTAAACTAAAAGTACTAACTTTGACTTACTTTTTCCTTCATTAGGAAATACGTTTCAGATTTCTTTGGATTTCATTGATTTTTGTTCTGTGTGAATCAGCAAAAGACCCAGAGAGTCTTGGTGAGTTGTGATCTCTCATGTCCTCAGATATCCAGGAGGCTGGCTAGGGGTTGACTAGATCCCCAGCCCAGGTTGAGGAGTTACTAGTTGTCACATCCTAGTGTTGTCAAATATTCTTGAATGTTATTCTAGATAACACTTACCAAGCACTCATTGTTAGCCAGACATCCTCCTTTAGAATTTCATGCTTTACATATGTTGGACTATGTAGGAAGCTTCCTACACGTATCAGTAAAGTAGCTCCAATATTACCACTGTTGTATAGATGAGGCAACAGACACTGGCACCTGTGGTCACATTGCAAGTAAGAGTCAGAGCCTGGCTTTCTCTAAATCCAAAGCCCTTGTACTGAAAGTACAAACATACTAAGATCCACCCATCTACCAACCCAGCTTTCTGATAATTTCTGTTGAAAGCCATGGAATAAAGCTGGTGCAGTCACTTGGCCACCAACCTGACAACCTGAGTTTGATCCCTGGAACTCATGGAGAGAGATGACTGACTCCCATACACATGCAAGTCATGGCACGTGTGCACACACATACAGACACACACACACACAATAAATAAATGTAAATTTTTTTATGTAAAACCATGGAATACTTGGTTTCTGCCCACCCTACCCAGTTTCTGTTAGTTTTGTTTGTTTTTGTTTTGAGATAGTCTCTCTCTGTTATGTAGCTCTGGCTGTCCTGGAACTTGCTATAAAGAAAATCTCTGGAAATCACAGAGATCTACCTGCCTCTCCCTACTGAGTGCTGAAATTGAAAAGGCTTGTCTACCATACCCAGTAATCTGCTTCCTAAATTAGTGTATTAAGAGACACATAGGCCCTTGCCATTTGATTTGTATGCTACAAATTAAATTTTCTGATAGAAGACAAATGCACTGTATAATTTGTAAATAGATGGTACATTATCTCTTCTATATAAAAATGGTCTGTGGTATAGCTGGGTTTTAGCTTCCTCTGAGGGGTACCTCCTGAACATTTCTGGGGCAGCTAATTATTTCCTTTGCCTTTTCTACTTTTTATTGTACTTAGCTAATCAACAACCTCTTTTAGTGTTTCCAGGTATTAATATGAACATTAACCAGTATAGTACAACTTAAGCTCAACATACTCCATCAGATACAAAGACCCTTGAGTTGAATATTTCAAATTTTTCAATCATGAGAATTCTTATGATATACTACAGGTTTCCTATTTTCCTTCAGAAGATATAGTTAGTACATTGGGTTCTAAAGGACACATCACAGATATTTAATGTGTAGAAAGTCATATGCCTATGCTATATACCAGAAATCAGACCATGTTGTCAAATTTAAGTAAGAAAACGTTTTTTTTAAAAAAAAAATAAGCCAGCCGGGCTGTGGTGGCGCACGCCTTTAATCCCAGCACTCGGGAGGCAGAGGCAGGCGGATCTCTGTGAGTTCGAGACCAGCCTGGTCTACAAGTGCTAGTTCCAGGGCAGGCTCCAAAACCACAGAGAAACCCTGCCTCGAAAAACCAAAAAAAAAAAAAAAAGCCAGGTGGTGATGATGCACATTTTTAATCCCAGCACACGGGAGGCAGAGGCAGGCAGATGTCTGTGAATTTAAGGCTAGCCTGGCCTATAGAGTGAGTTCCAGGACAGCTAGAGCTATTACATAGACAAACCCTGTCTCGGAAAAAAAGGAAAACTAGAACTCTGTACTTTATGTTAATCATTTTAGGTCTTGGTATTAAGGACTAAAAATATTATTTAATTTGATTAGGAGTTTTTTATATTGAAGACAATGTCTGGAAGCTTCTACTTTGTAATTGTTGGCCACCATGATAATCCAGTTTTTGAAATGGAATTTTTGCCACCTGGGAAAGCAGAATCCAAAGTACGTATGCAATCTAAATTTCATAAGAATTTTATGTTGTTTATAGTTGTATGAAATAATAGTGTTTTAGAACTAAAATAGATCTAGAGAGATAAAGCCACTGAGATACAGCAACAATTAAATAAGGCTTTCTCTGGAGTTCCACGGACTGTTAGAAACCAGCTAGGGAAGGAATGTTGCCCACTATGAAATGCTTCTTAAGCATAAGAAAATGTACCCCACTTGTCAGGGGCCTGGAACAATTTTGTTGCCTCAAAATGCCACAATAGTCCATTCAACAGCAAATCTTATTTTTCAGCAGAACAGACATAGATCAGTTTACACCTGAGGATTGCACTGCTTACATTGTCCCCATTCTGCTGGTACCCAGGCTATATCAGGAAACTCTAAAAGCAACAGCAGGGGTGACACTTTCTTGTGGGAATGGTTCCAGAGGAACAAACTTGGTTCAAGAATATGATGCCCATCATTCAGAGTAAGCCAAGGAGTTGGTTTTTTAAAGTCATATATATACATACATATATGTATACATATGTATGTATATGTATATATATATTACAATCTTAAGTAGGAGATACTTTTTCAACTATTCAAATTGTACCAACAAAAAACAAAGAAATTTGTTTATGGTATTTTCTGCCAGTTATCGGTTCTATGTTATTTCAAAGCTCTGTTTTTAGGAAAACACTTAAGCTTTGTTTCGAGGCAGTGGCAGCAATTGCCCTGTGCCAGTTGCCACTTAAATCTAGTTTCTGTGTACTCCAGAGACCTATTAGGTAGCAGCACATGAAAACACCTTCTAACTTGACATGGTCTTAGCACTCTCTTTGGCTGCCATCACCTTCTTAAAGCATCTCCAACTGGCCTCCAATTAATGGATGGTTCTCTGTCCTCAACCTCCTTCGTGCTGAGATTGCAGGTATAAGGCATCACACACAGCGAAATTTTCCGAGGACATCAAGAACACTGGACTAGAGGCCCACTCTACTCCAGAATGACCTCATGTTAACTAACCACATCTGCAGTGACCCTCTTTCTAAGTAAGGTCACATTCTGAGGACCATATGAGTTTCCTCAAGGAGAGACTAGCAATAGCTCTCAGCGTTGCTAATGCTGCCACCCTTTAATACAGCTCCTCAAGTTGTGGTGACCCCCAGCCATAAAATTATTTCATTGATACTTCATAACTTTCATTTTGCTACTGTAATGTAAATATCTGATATGCAGTTGATCTAAGAAGATCTCTGTGAAGGGCTTGTTCAGGTTGAGAACTGCTGCTCTATACTATATAGAGTCTATTTCACAGCAGGTAGCTTTTTGAGAAAAGCACTGTGAAAGAGAATTCTATAGGAGTAAGACTATATCCAGGTTGGGAATGTTCTCTACATTATAGTGAGTCATTCCTACCTTCTTTTCAGTTAGGCCATTTTGCCCACGAAAAGAACACTCCTGATTGTGATAGGATTGTTTCTGCTGTTAACAGATGACAATTCACAGTTAAGGCTGAATATGACCTCCCCACCCCCAATCCCAGATCCCCAAACCATGTAAGCTCTTGTTCTGCAAGAGGCCTATCATAGGTCTTCACAACTGTCTTTACTGTTTCTGTTCAGGAAGCCTGGCTCTCCCTGTTGCCTCCAGCCCTTGAGGCCCCATATGCATGGTATCCCTTTGTAGCTTTCCTTGACATCCATTTTGATCTAGGAAAAGTGCCCTCTTTGATCCACATCTGCATCACTTTGTGTGTTTCTCTTCTAAAAAGATATGGGCTTCTGGAAAGTAGGCTCTGCCTTATTTTCCCCCTAAAAGTAGTAATCTCTTTACGTATGATTAATTAGTTATAGAATTTGGTAATTGCCTTCTCCCAGCATTCAAAATATAATAAAGTCAAGACTTTATTAATTGGCTCTTCCTGTTATGAGTGATAGATATCAAGATGATAAAAACATAATCCTTTATATCTCATGATACCAATACACATAAATGCTAATACTCCTCCCCTAAGAAAAATATGTATGTACAGAATGAAAACCAGGCATTACACCTGTATTCCTAGTACCTGGGAGGCTGAGGCAGGTTTAGGAGCTCCAGACCATTCTAGGCTACGTAGTAAAGCCATATCTAAAACAAGAGAAAACACACACAATACACACAGATTGACAGAATTTCAGAATGAATTGTCTGTGGTACCAGTGCCATATGGAAATGTACATCTTTCTCCATTCTCTGTCATTTAGGATGATCACCGTCATCTGAACCAGTTTATAGCCCATGCTGCTCTTGACCTTGTGGATGAAAACATGTGGCTTTCTAATAACATGTACTTAAAAACTGTGGACAAATTCAATGAGTGGTTTGTATCGGCATTTGTCACTGCAGGACATATCCTTTCCTTATGTTATAGTTTGCTTTCTGTTGCTATTATAAACATCATGATCAAAACCAACTTCAAGAGGAAGGGGTTTATTTAGCTTGTACTTCTCAAATTACATTCCATTGTTGAGGGAAATCTGGGCAGGAACTGAAGCAGAGACCATAGAAGAATACCGAATGCTGGCTTTCTCAGGCTTATATTCATCTACCTTACTTACACAGCCTAGGCCCACCTGCCTATGGATGGTACTGCCTACAATGGACTCAGCCCTTCTACATCAGTTAGCAGTTAAGAAAATGCCCCTCAGACGTTACCACAAATACTTAGCCAAAGGCTGAGTTAGAAAACAAGAACTTGAAACGTAAAGGCAGTCTCTGATTTTGAAGACTTCTAAGAATCAGGCTGCCATGAAAATTTTTCACTTACAAGACATTTATTTTTTTGTAAACATGTTCAGCCAATAATTTTAAAACTAGGGTTTATCTTAACCATACCAAGGGCTGTTTTACTTTATTTCCTAACTTTAAAAGAGTACACTCTCCTTAAGCTTAATTGACTTTAAGCCAGTTTATGTATTCAGCTTTGCCATCACAAAACACAGTTTATGTGACCAATGTGAAGGTTATCTTATCAGATGATTGCTTTTAATTTTTCATTTCTAGTAAAGATTGTGCCTTAATTTTTTCACATATGAGATTTATTATGCTTCATGATGTGAGGCAAGAAGATGGAATAAAGAACTTCTTTACTGATGTCTATGATTTGTATATAAAGGTATGGTATACTCTATAATTTAAAATAATCTGATTTTTTAAGTGAGAGGGCTAGAAACAGTCCAGATTAAGGCATAAAAGAACATTTCTCTTATCATTAGTAATTCTGCTTTAGTGTTTTCTAACATATGTTATGAAGTCCTTATATTAGCTAGGGAACTGATGAATTTTAGCTTTATGTTAAAGCAAAGTATTCAAACCCTAAATTAAAAGAATTATAAGGCACAGCGGCAGATGTCTGTAATCCCAGCACTTGAGAGGGTCATGAGTGTGAAACCAGCTGGGCTACCCAAGAATTTGAAAGAAAAAAATGACTTCCACTTAATAGCAGTATAGTGAGACTTTTTTTAACTGAACCTATTTGACATTTACCATTTGTTTACATAATCCAAAAGACCATATAGATTAATCCACATAATGAATACAAGGTAGATTCAAGATCCGTGTTAGCCTCCCGAGTGCTGGGATTAAAGGCGTGCACCACCACCACTCGGCAAGCTTTTACTTCTTAAGTCACTTCAAAGAGGGGGTGCTGAGAAGCATAGCCCACACAAATGCCATGGGTGTGCCTTACTTCCTGGGTGTCTCTTTCTCCTTAGCCCTCAAGATTACAGTCTATATTTAAGTTCCCTTTTAAAATCCCAATTCTGTTTCTAAAAAAAATAACAATAGAACACTTTGAATGAGAATTAAAAATGAGACCCAGACTTTTGTCTTTGCTAAATTTTAACTGAAAATGTAAATTTCCTTTAGCAACTGTAATTCATGAGCCTCTTTGCTTTAACAGGCTTACTAATACCTTCTTCTTTCCTAGTTTGCAATGAATCCATTTTATGAACCCAATTCGCCTATTCGATCAAGTGCATTTGACAGGAAAGTCCAGTTTCTTGGGAAGAAACACCTTTTAAGCTAAATGGAGAAAAACTCTGAAATAAACAGTATCACTGTCGTGGGCTATACTCAGGAATGTGTGCGCTGTAAGTAATTTGAAACAGCCTAGTACTTAAATTGTACATTGTTTTCATGTTGATTATCAGCATTAATATTTGCTTGTCGAGTTATTTATAAAGAATTCTTTACCAGTAATTTAAACATTTTTATTTAAAAGCTTGAGAATGAACTTTTGCCTTTCCTGATTGAGATAATTTGATCTTAACTTATTAAATTCAAAAGCAGATGTCATAGTTAATATTTGTTAGATTTAAAACTAAAAGCTTCTGCAGACATGAATGAAATTGAGTTATTAATACTTTTAGAGATAGTCTTTTTAAATGCGTAATACACTACAGTACCAAGAAGCTAAAGCAGAAAGCCTCTGCCATACCAAGTGTTACATGCCTACCTGCCTGTCTGGCTGAGAATAGTGATCCTGCTATGACTCTCTATCCTAGACCCGTGTACACTGCATCAGTTACAGGCCACTGCAAAATGTATTCCCTCTGTTACCTTATATTCCTGTTTCCTTTCTCTTAGTAAACTAAAAGTTGAATGTACTTATATCTGTACTTAAAAATGAAACAGAGCTTTGGTATTACTAATAAAAGCCTGAGTTACACTGACATTTGTACTTAGCCTTTTAGACAGTATACAGAGTGGGAGGTGGCAGGTGTGGCTTCTATAAGAAATGTTGGTTTGATTTTACAATAGTATATATGCATGGAAAATCAAGTAAACCAGCTTTCCATGTATACACTGGGAGACTTTTCCATTCTCATTTTTGAGTAAGCCTTCTTGGATCTTTTTGTGAAGTTGTTACCATCGCTCTTTGAGTTCTTAAATAAAAACTTACATTCAAGATTGTAGTAGTTAGATGCCTATTTCTAAAATCCAGCCCAACACCAATACTTTTTAAATCCCATTTCCCTACTGATGTCTGAAAACTAATGTGGTAGGTACATCTCACCCACAGATCACCTCTCAACTAGCTGTCAAAGGCACAAGAAGTGTTACTCAGTAGTTAAGAGTATCTTCTGTTCTTGCAAATGACCCAGGTTGGCTTCCCAGTACCTAGGTGGAGCAGTTCTAGAAGGATCCAGTGACTCTGGCCTCCTTGAGCACCTGTACTTACAGGCACATACTATTAAAAATCTTTTTTAAAAAATTTGAACAATGCTAATAGGAGAGACCCAAATATGTACTTATCATATACCACTTGTTTCACCCTCCATGAGCACAGAACCCACACCCAGGAAGGTGCTCTAATTCCAGACAACCAAACAGCATCATATTATAGCATGAAGTCAAGGGTGAGACTTGGTTTCTAGCCCCAGAGAGCAAAAGGTTACCTTGCAAATAGCCTTCCTTTTCTTCAGGCTTAGGAGGGCAAGATGGGAGTTAGGACCATTCACTTTGTTTGAGTATATTGCCAAAGTTAAGTACAAATTTTCAGTGTGACTGTCAAGTAGCTCAAGGGGAAGGAAGTCCAGCAATGACTGAGACTTCAGTGTTCAAACAGAAAAACTGCATTCCAGCCATGGAGCCGGAACCTGTGTAAGGGGTAAAGCATTAACCTTATCTGACAAAGCTTAGATCTGATAGATGATGTCCCTACCAGATGTGAAATTTTATGTTGGTACAAAATTTATAGTATACATTTATACTCCAAAGGAGATCCAGATAAAAATACACAAACCTGTTTGTGTCCTTTCTGTAGCTGGAAATCCCTAGGGTACATCACTCAGTTGTTTTTGTTATTTCTCATATATAGGCACCATTTTGTCTTTGTCCACGCTACTACCTGTGGCTTTTTAAAGCTTTTTATTCATTTGTGTATGAAGTTTGGAGGGAGAGTACATGTGCCATGGCACAGGGTTTCTCTTTCTAACAGTCCTGGAACTCACTTTGTAGACCAGACTGGCCTTGAACTCAGAGAATCTGCCTGCCTCAATGCTGGAATTAAAGGCAGAGCCACCAACGCCTGGGGTGTTTTAATTTTTAAGACTCTCATACTTCCTAGACAGTCCATATCATCTCAGAAACCACAGACTGGCTAGACTTCCCCTTTTACTAGGAACTTATATTGGTCCATTTTTTTCTATTTAACACTTTACTGCTGTTGGAGAACTTGGATCATAGTGTTATTAATATGGAAGTTAGTGTAGAGATTAAAACAGTTTAAAGACAAGGAACATCTGGGATGTTTTAATTTGAAAGTTTCTCAGAAGGGTAAAAAGAGCATAAATATTTCTACTCAAATAGCCAAATTCACCTTATCTGTTTTCCAAATTCAGTATGTGCCTCTTTAGAACAGAATTTAATCAGAAGGCTGTGTTCCTACACAGCTTACCCTTAGCTATGACTCCTGTAATGAAAGTCAAACACCATATGGTGACTGCCAACAGGGCCTCCCCTCTGCAGGAGCAGTGAAGTACAAGTTCGACACAGTTCCTTCCTTCTATCTGCTTTCTTCCTGGGCAGCTGCTTGTCACTTCCACCGCCATACATAACCTGCTTGGTTTCCCATCTTGTGCTTTTCTGCTTTGTCCATCTTTGTCTAGGTAATGCCAGCCATCACTGCACCCGACTTTACTCAAACAAAAGAAAAACTCTACCTTCAGCTACCTTTTCATTCAGTGTTAGCTACAGTTTAATGCCAAGGCTAGCCCTTAAGATTTTGTTCTCCTCTTCCTCATGGTTTATACAGTTGAAGCATATGTAATTATGTTAGCCAGTATTGACTTACTTCTTTAACACAGTGTGAAGCTGGGTACTCTTTCTCCAGACATAAAACTTTTCTTTTTATCACTGCTTGCTCTAACCTTTTGAAAGTTGACTTTAAAAACCAACTAGCATAACCTTCAGTAGTAAACTGAAAGTTATGAATAGTTTTTAAAGTTAAAATGAGGTGGGGTTTTGCATACCTGGAATCCTGGTACCTAGAGATAAAAGCTAGGTCAGGGTTTTAATACCAACTTTAGCTACAAGATAGCTACAAGAGACCCTGTCTCATCAAACAAAAGCAAAAACACTAAGACATTCAATCTACAAATAAAAATACTGCATGGTCACTACATGGTGAACTCAGCAGCTATGATTACTGCATAAAATTTGGTCTGTTGACAATCCATTAAAGAGGGACTCATGAGCCCCACTCCTCCCTGAGATTCTGTAGGCAGTTAATGATTCCTTGGGGAAGAGGAGTCATATTTCTCAGTTGTATAGGCACTGGTAAAGTTGCCCATGATCATGTAAATAGCTATGTTCAAGAAAGTAACCCTAAATGTTTGCTCACACACTCGCTTGTGCATGTGTCTGTGTGTAGTAAAAGTTGAATAGGCTGAGTTATGTCCCCCAAAATTTATGTTGAAACCTTAACCTCCAAAACCTGTGATGGTGTTACCAACTTAACACATCTAAAAATCATGAGAAGTCTTAATAGCATATCACCTTATGTTGAAGTGAGAAAACCCACCCACCCACTGTAGGCAGCAGCACCATTCCCTAGGCAAGGATTCACTCAACACTGGTGTGGGGTTCCCAAGAAACTCAGGACAAATAGCTATGGCTGTATTATCCTTCATATCTATAATAAAATCCTTCTCAATCATACCTTGGATTGGTCATGTCTTCATTTCATTCACCAGGTGCTCATAACCCAAGAGGGCCATATATGAGCTCCCTTCCAGGGATTTAGCCTCTCCTAACAGAACCAAGCTGCTGATCCGACTTTCCTATATATGTGGACCATTTACTTCTGCTGATTTCGGCCACCTACCATATTTGATTCCAAATTCTAGAGACTACCTCTTCGGCCATGTTTTCAACTAGCATGCACATTTTCATTGCTCTTTTCTGACTGTTCTCTGAAGCTCCTGCCAACTGACTTTCCTGCCATGATGAACTACAGTCTAGAACTGTGAGTCAGATTAAATCTTTTCTCTTTTCAGTTGCTTTTGTTAGAATATTTAATCACAGCAACAGAAAAATTAAAAAAAAAAAAAGACAACCTCGAAATGTGACTACCTTTGAAGAACTGATTAGGCCATTTGGGTGGGGATCAATACAACCCTTTTTTTGTATTGAGACACGGTTTCTCTGTAGCCCTGGTTTTCCTGGAACTCACTCTGTAGACCAGGCTGGTCTCAAACTCACTGAAATCCACTTGCCTCTGCCTCCTGAGTGCTGGGATTAAAGTCCTGCACCACCACTGCTGAATACAACTCTTAACAGGGGATCAGGAGTTCAAGGCCAGCCTAGAATATGTGAAACTATCTCTAAATCTATCCTCCATCCAGCTACATGTACGTATGTACCAACAAATATGTGTACAGTTTGAATTGCTCCAAATTTAAATTGTTCCCATATGGCAAAAACTGTCCCTATTACGAAGTTACTTTCAAAAACTTAAACTTACTGCAATGGTTTTTTTCTCCTAGTTTCCAATGGGGGGGGGGAAGGGTCAAGAGAGACATTGATTAGTTTCTCACATTCTATACCCTCCCACAATCCCCAGCATAGCAGTTCACTCTCCTACTCCAGTATGTCCTTAATTATCATGGGGAAGGGTCTTACTCATATTATACCAGCAGTCAGTCTAGGTTATGATTGATTTGCTTCTATGGGCCAGGACTGTTGTCACTGATACCACATGTGAAATCAACTCATGAAAGAATTTGAGAGGAGAGAGCCTCTATTGAGAAAATGGCTCAGCAACATCAGACAGGCCTAAAGGGTGAGGAAGGCTCAACGCATTGTGAATGAGGCCTGGTGGTCTTGAGTTCTGTAAGAAAGCAGGCTAAGCAAGCCAGGAAGCAGGATTCCCTCTGTGCCCTCTGCATCAGATCCTGCATTCCTGTTCCTTCGCTGAGTTCCTGTCCTGACTTCCTTTGATGATAAACAGTGAAGTGAAAGTATAAACCAAATAAACTTTCCTTCCCAAGGTGCTTTTTGGTCATGGTGTTTCATCACAACAGTAGTGACCCAACTAAGGCAGATCATTGCTGCAAGTTGTCTTTTTAAAATAAGTTTTCAAAGCAAATCATTAAATAATGATAGAGAGGATACAAAAGAAATACCTATGTAGATATGGTTGCCTTCACCCTCAGGAAGTACAATCCTGGGCTAAAGATAAAGCTCACCTGTCATGCATTAGACGCGGCAGCACAGGCTCATGCTTGTAATCCCTCACTCAGGAGGTGGAGGTAAAGCCAGAAGTACAAAGGTCAACCTTGAATATATGAGAATCTTCTAAAAAGCTAGCTCCTATGTTGGGAAGGGGATATGTGTGTGCCACAATTTAATAAATGTGAGATAAATTCTTACAGAGATAATGAAGTCATCAAATCAAAAAGCATCGCAACATAAATGCATTAGATTTTAATCTTTAATAGTATTATAGGAATTTACTTCCCTGGACCAAGAATAGAATGCTAATTACATAAAAATATACACATACAAAAGTAACTCTCCATTTTCTTGTGGGGAAAAACAACCTAAGTGTAACTTCTAGAATATTCAAGGCTTTTGTTTGAATTACAATTCAATTCTTGGTCATCTTATTAGCACTAATTTTAAGTTAAACATTAGACAACCATTACTATTTATAAATGTAAGGTGCCGTTACCAAGTAAATAGATTTCCTCCAGAGTGAATGTGTCCCTTCTCCCACCAACTAATGAGGCAGCAATCAATATTCGTTAGTTGAATTTTATTAACAGATGAACCCTCCTCTCATGTGAGTGTGGGTGTGTTAGAATGCAACGACCATCTCTTTAATGACATCAACAGCAAGATGAGTTTGGCTTGGGCTTTCGGTGCAGATTGACTGTGTCTGTCTGAATCAGGTGATCTGACCTATCTTCTGTAGCCAGAACTCTTCGAACTGCCTCCTCAAAGGCAGCTGCAACATTGGTGGAATCTTTTGCACTCGTTTCAAAGTAAGGATAGTCGCCGTTGTCCCTGCACCAGGCTTGGGCTTCTTCCGTAGACACCTGCCGTTCATTTATATCAATCTTGTTGCCCAAAATCACAAAAGGAAAGCTTTCAGGCTCTTTCACATCTGCATAATATATGAATTCTTTCTTCCAGTTGCTCAAATTCTGGAAGCTTTGTGAATCATCAACGCTAAAAGTAAGCAGGCAACAGTCAGAACCTCTGTAAAATGGTGTCCTCAGGCTTCGGAATCGCTCTTGACCCGCCGTGTCCCAAATCTGCATGGTAACAAAATGTCCATCCACCTCCAAATCTTTATTTAAAAATTCCACACCTATTGTGTGAAAGAGCTGGGCATCAAATTTATTGGTTACATATCTGTTCATAAGAGAACTCTTGCCAACTCCACCATCTCCAAGAAGAATTACTTTAAAAAGGGACGATTTTCCTGCCATTATTAATAGTATGAGTTTTGACTTCAGAATCCTGTTTAAAAAAAAAAGGTACCACCATTACATGCCTTTATACTGTAGCAATCCACACAATTCTAACAAAATCAGCATTTAAGTGAAATAAAAATATCCCTGATTCCTCTTTGCAAAATAACTACCAAAATAATGAGAACTGTTATTTACTGTCACTTAAGACATGTACCGACCCCTATCCATTTTCATTATTCCCTAGAAATAACAGTGAAGTCTCACCCTTGCTGACTGTGAAGCTGGACTTGAGCCCAAATATAACCTCAAAGACCTTTCTCTGAGCCATCACTATCATAAACTCCTCCAAGCCCCAGCCACCCTAAACGGATAGAGGTGGCAAGCATGCAAAGTCCATAAATTTCTTTGAAGTTAACAGCCCCTCAATCCCCAGTTAACTGATATATGTTCCTACTGTCCTTCCCCTTCTCACTTCAGATACAGGCACTATGGAGCAGGAAATCCAGAGCCTTCCAGAAGCTCACTGATTCAGCTAAGAAATAAAAATCTATCAACCACAGACTACAAAGAGTTTACTGTCTTCACTGGAAATACTATTTTGAGTTGTTAAGATCAGTGTCAAAAGCATGAGCATAAGGCTCAAACTCATCTGGGCAGCTCCAACTCTTAGTCAATGTGTGCCCACTCTGGTGGGGGAAGTGCATACACATATAAGCAAGCATGGAGGACAGAGGTCAATGTCAGATGTCTTCCACTGTTTTTATTTTTGAGCAGGGACGTAGAGTTTAAGACAAGGTCTCTCACCTAAAGCTCCACAGATTTTGCTACACTGGATGGCCAGCAAACAAACCATACATCCTCCTGTCTCTGCCTCACCAGTGCTGGGATTATAGGTACATTTCCATACTCAGCTTTATACATGGGTACTGGAGATGCCGACTCAGATCCTCATGTTTCCAAAACAAGCACTTTAGCAACTGAGCCGTCTCCCCAGCCCCACATGACATTTATGTATAAAGTAAAATGAAAATCAAATCAGGTGAAAATGTAATTATACATACCCTTTAAAGAAGTCCAGATGTAGAATTTTAAAACTTTCCTACACTACAGGAGTCAGGCGGGGGAGAGGGGTGACCTATGACTGATGGCTACATCTGAGTGCTGATGGAAAACACTGTCCGTACTTGATATTTTATTTTAATTCATCGTAAAAAAATTTCAAAGCCAGGCAGCCGTGGCACAGGCCTTTAATCCTAGCACTTGGGAGCAGAGGCAGGTGGGTCTCCGTGAGTTCAAGGACAGCCTGATCTATAGAGCAAGTTTTAGGACAGCCAGAACTACACAGAGAAACCCTGTCAAATACAAAAAAATAAGCATACAAAAAAACTTCTGGGTGGGAAAACACAAAACCTAGCCTCACCTTTACCAATTATCAGCCTAAGGCAAATCCTGATTGCTCATTAACTCCTATTCTCCTTTGTTTCTACTTGAGTTGAAGCAAAATCATCTAATATGTAAATACTTAAGATTTAAGTATCTGTTAAGTATATTAAATTTTATGAAGGAAAATTAAGTTTCTTATATGAGCATTGTCAAAAGGATTTTTACCTAATAATAGAGGCCCAACATGGTACTCTCTAGCTATATGTGGCTGTTGAGCACTTGATAAGTGCTTGGGAGTTGGCCTTTGTGCATGCTAAGCATTAAAAAACCTGCTACATTTCTGTCCCCATTTATTTTCAGCTAGTTTAAATGGCCACATTTTAAAAGCCCTTAGCTATATTGGACAACAGAGTTCTAAAATAAGAATAGTCGTTAGTTTATCATGAAAGTGAATATTGTTGACTCCCACAGTGGGAAAATAGTAGAGAAATGAAGAATAATTGCTTTATCTACTAGGATAAATTTCTATTACCAGTGTAGCAGATACTGTCTGTCTTCTTATTAAATGTGAAGGTATCCAGTATTACTGAATAGTTTTGTAACATAAAAGAATTCTGCATTTCTAACTATGTTCTACTATAGGTTAAAAAAACAGCTTAGTGAAAGAAATCAAGTCAGTAGAAAAAAATTAATAAAAATGATAAAAAGAACTGAGTGGTGGTATATATTATGCCTGTAATCCCAGCACTCAAGAGACATTGGCAAGAGAAGCACAAAGTTGAAGCCATAACAAGCCAAACATATCTTATGTTTATCCAGTTTCACAATTATATCAAGAGGCGCTGGCAAATGACTGACCAACCCCACCTAAGTTTATGTAAGCACCCTCGAGGATGTCCACAGTACACTGAAATCATGTAATGATGTATTTCTCAGAATGTGTCCCCATTGTGCTGTATTTCAACATAGGGAAAGCATCTGAAACTTGCCCAAAATTATTAAAATTATTTAATGGTTTATTCTCCAGACTTAAAGAACCAAACTCAACTTTGACTTGGCCATCCCACAACTGCTGCGTTGTTTCCTCTCAGATTAAAACCTGCCATAGATTATTTACGGGGAGGTGAGATACCCCCATAGAAGCTCACTAAGATAGAAATTAAACAATTTGGAATAGTTTAGGAAGTCCCTGAAACTCACCAGATTCACTAGGAGGAGAGAGAGAGAGAGAGAGAGAGAGAGAGAGAGAGAAGATTAAAGAAGCAGAGCCTAGCTAAAGTGCTTAAAACAATAGTTCTCAGTGTGGGGGTTAGAGGGTACAAACTAGCAATGAAAATAACTTTATAGTTGAGGGTCACCAAAAGGAACTGTATTAAGGGGTTGCAGCATTAGGAAGGTGTAGGGATAAGCCCTCCCCTTGGGGGCGGGCTGCCCTCGGGCGTATGTTTACTGATAAATTGGGCGCACAGAGGCTGCACGCCCCTTCCTGCCTGCTCCTTCCTGCCTGCTCCGGGTACTCCGCTGGAACCTTGGTTTCGTGAGTCTGGTTTTGTCATTAAACTTGTTCAAATACCTATTATCATTGGTCTTCATTAATCCAACCACCACAGGAAGGTTGAGAACCACTGGCTTAGAAGAAACAAAACATGGCAGAGCTGCCTAGAAAAGGCTCAGATCAACCTAAACACCAGGAATGGACACTCCAACCTGTTGTGCTACCTGCAGGCTGTGCAGTGAGCTCCAGGCAGGTTTTCTACCTTTCACAAGCTGTCATCAATGATGGGAAAGGGATTCAGCCGTCTACGTGCAGCATTTCTGCTCCTTTAAATAACCAATCAACCCATATTCCTGTAAGAACTCCAGTAAAACACACTGATTCACCAAGCTAGTCTTTAGCGTCTGTTGTCAATTCCCTATCTAGGTGAGTGGATGTTTACTTGCAGGAATGCCATGCAACAACTCACTGTCTATGCCTTCAACCAAGCACACACTGCTCCCTCACCTAAATGCTGCTTCTACTCGCACCCCAAACCCAACTGCTGTGCCCTCAGACCTCCTCAGCTTGGTCACTGCCTCTACTGGAAACCCTTTCCCATCACCCCCATCAATGTTGTTCCTGTCACAGTTTTTTTTTTTTTTTTTTGGTTTTTCGAGACAGGGTTTCTCTGTGGCTTTGGAGCCTGTCCTGGAACTAGCTCTGTAGACCAGGCTGGACTTGAACTCACAGAGATCTGCCTACCTCTGCCTCCCAAGTGCTGGGATTAAAGGCGTGCACCACCACCACCACCACCACCACCACCACCACCACCACCACCACCGCCCGGTAACTGACACAAAAAACACAAAAGCTCCATGATCTATTGTGAGAGGAAGACAGACTTACATAATTGTAGATCCTTTTTGTCCTAATTAAATGGGATTTTCTATTCATGACATTTTAAAAGAAATTTACATTCGCAAATTCCACCCAGGTAGTATTTTTGACATGCACATTGACTGTTTGGGGGCTCCCAGACATTCCTACTTGAGAATATAGGGGCCTTTGCTAACATTATTAATACACACCACCTCTTTGATTCTAACCTTAGAGCTGTACACAAATACACATGGTGTTATAAGTATATAAACCATCTTAGTTCCAATGATATTTAAGAGAAGCCAACCTCACTCAATCTACCTATTAATATAATCACAGCATGCTTATGGACATAAAAATGTTTCCTGTTCTTTTCAATTTCTGTGTGTGTGTGTGTGTGTGTAAGGGGGGTGGATACCCACAAAGGCCTGAAGAGGGCAATATATATAGTCCCTTGAGCAAGAGTTGCAGGCAGTTGTGAGCTGCTTAATACATGGGTGCTGGGAACCAAACTGCAACAGTACAAATACTTTTTTAAAATTAATTCATTTTTTTGCTCTATTTTCCTGACAGGGATTCAGCTCTGGCTGTCCTTCTGTAGACCAGGCTGGCCTTAAACTCACAGAGATCAGCCTATCTCTGCCTCCCAAGTGCCAGGATTAAAGGAGGGTGCCACCACATCCAGTTTAGAACACACTATTAACCACTGAGGCCCACTATTCTTTTCTAAAAGCAGCAAAACCTTTGTGATTTCTTTAGCATAAGCTAAAGGAATAAAAAACCTCCTACCATGTAACTTTAAAAATTAAGCTAAAAGTAAATGTAATATAAACTCTGATATTCCACAGTTGGAAAGACTGTCTAAAAGCGATAAACTAAAAGCAAAAATCTTCATCAAGTTTAACAGCTAAATTCCACAAATAAAGACATCTGAATAAAAAAGGCTTAATAAGGTAAGGTCATGAACCTTACCTTAGTAGTTCAGTTCAAGCATCATTATTATCTGCAGGAAAAAAAAAAAATCAAAGCTCACATTAGTGATATATGTTTGTTTTGATGATTTGTTTCTTCTATGGCATTACAGATTGAACCCAAAGCCTTGTATATGTTAGGCAAGCTCTACCAGTTAATTAGATAACCCCAGCCCTTTTACTACTTTTGAGGTCAGGTCCCACTACATTGCCCAGGCCAGCCCTGAACCTGCCCTGTAGTCTAAATCGGACCTTGAATTTTTAATCCTCCTACCTCAGCCTCCAGAGTAACTAGGATTGCAGACCTGTACCTGTTTCATAATTCTAAGTGTAAAAAGAATTAACTGTAAAAAAAATAAATTTGACTACATCTACATTTTTAATTTAAAAATACCTAAATGATATCTATAATCTACCTCAGCCTAAAAAAAAACCAGCCCTACATCAAATACTGTATTCTAAGTACTGTTTTCCTCTGTCGAGAGTTTTACCTGCCCACCCTTCTTTTCTAACTTTCATATGCAGACATAGCTATAAAATTATACTGGGAATTATACTTGCCCAAATTTTATTTAGGTGGCTGAGAATCATGTCCCAGATAACAGGAAAAAGAGGAGACAAGGTAGAAAGAGGCACCAATATGATCCATAGAGTTAGACCAAGATCTGGAGGTAGTGCAGTGTCATGAAGCCACTGGGCGGCTAAGGCAAAAAAACAAAGTCTTCCATGCATGAATGAGAGCAGTGGCCGGAGGGAGAACATGTTCCTAGGACCAACCAAGCAAGGGGCACAGCCCAAGTGTGGGCAAACTTAATTCCCTGAAACCAAACGGGAACAACAGGGTCAGCAACATCTACCTCCAAGAGCTACTCAAACATTTACTCAGATAACTGCACACAGGTTTTCACCAGTTCTAGACTTCCTAGAAAAGTGTAGGAACTTTCTGTGGAATGAGACCATGAAGTCTCAAATAGGCAATTTTACAGATAGTTTAATGGCTATAAAATGCTATAAGCAGAATAAATTATATGCAGACCTTCATTAGGAAGCCAAAGAGCCCCACACTCACACACCACCTTCTAAAAATATTTTTTACTATTTATATGTATATGTGTTATGAGTGTATGTGGGGGAGGGGGAGTGATGGCTGAGGCCAGAAAAGGAAGCTGGATCCCACCAACTTCACCAGGCCCACAGTACAGTTATTGGCAGTGATGAGGCAACCTGACACAGGTGCTAGGAATTGAGCACCTCTGCAACAGCAGCAGGTGCTCTTATATGATGATCCAGTTCTCCAGCACCCCCACCACCATCACCATTTTTAAAAGAAAAGAAAAGGTATTTTTGTGAAAATTATATATAGCAGTCCTTAACTTAACACATTCAACCAATTAAAACATGACTCTTTAAAATGCCAACATTTAGGATTAAGGATAAAACAGCAGCTAGCACTGAGAGAGCCCTGTATGCCATGTGCCCTGTGACCCCACATTTACTTCTCAGGTTTCTTATCTGTGGTGGTTTGAATGAGAGCAACCCTTACAGCCTACATGTTTGAATGCTTTGTCCCAGTAGGTAGAGCTGTTTGGTAAGGCTTAGGCAGTGTGGTCTTGTGGAGGCAGGTATGTTCCTAAGGGTGGGCTTTGAGATTTCAAAAGTTCAGTCATTCCAGTTAGTCTCTCTTTGTCTGCTTGTGGATTAGATAGAAGTTCTCAGCTACTGCTCCAGTGCCATGCCTAACTGCCTGCTGCCATGATAGCCATGGACTCACTTTCTGAAACTGTAATCAAGCCCCCAACTAACTGCTTTCTTGTATAAGTTGCCGTGGTCATGGTGTCTCTTCACCACAATAGAACAGTATTTAAGATATAGCTTTTCCTATTACTGCCTATGATAGGCTTGAGAGCTTATTTATATATGATGCAAGATCACAGCTAGTAAAACAGTTAAGCTGTTACTATAGCAGAATACTCCAAAGCCCAAGCACTTAACCCACTGGGCTACTTCAAGTGCATCTGCTTTTTTTTTGTTTTTGTTTTTGTTTTTGAGGGGCTTACTGTTGTTGCTGTAGTTATAAAGGAAATAAGCAGGTGGAAGCAGTAAGTCTTTTCGCTTCTTCATTTTATTCCAAGGTCTGCACAAGAACAAGTTAATTCAACAGAACTAGTAGGCTACTCTGCCAATATGCAACATAAAGTATACCTGAATATGCTATGGGTTTTTTGTTCCTATTGATTTTGTGAGGTACAGTCTCGTGTAGTATGGGGTGGCATCAAACTCAGTACTACTTAGCTAAGGATGAGCATAAAACCTCTTGCCTCTACCTCTGGAACCAAGATTAAGGTGTGTACTATCATACCCAGTTTTGTGAGGTGCTGAAAATTAAACCTAGGGCTGCATGCATGCTAAGTAAGACTGTACCAACTGAGCCACACCCCCAACCAAATATACTGTATTTAAAAGAAAGTTTTAAGTGAAACCTGAGTCAAAGTCTGCAGTGTTCTTCATTATCTCTACAGAAGCCTTCAGTTTCCTAAGATGGGTGAAAGCAGATTTCCAGCACATATTTAGACAGCACCTATTACCTATTATGCACCACACATTAATGATGCAAACCACAGTTCTGCCCTGATAGTAACACCTACATGAAGTCCCAACTATAGCAGGACCTATAAAGAACAATCTGATGTGCTTCTTGACATTAAGAGAAAAAAAAAAACCAACCTACAGTCCACAGCCCCAGACAACAAAGAGGACCCTAAGAGATACATAGGAAAGATACATAGGATACATGGATCTACACAGGAAAGAGAAAAAGACAAGATCTCCTGAGTAAATTGGGCATGGGGGTTGTGTGTCACGGGAGAGTGTAGAAGGGGAGGGGGAAGGAAGAGAGGGAGGGGAGCAGAGAAAAATGTATAGTTCAATAAATAAAAACAATAAAAAAAAATAATAAAAACAGGGTACCCTTCCAACATTTCCCCTGGTGAGGGATAAAATGTAAAAATGTGAGGTTCCCTTACTCAGGCCTAGGCCTTGCCTGTCGGTATCTCACAGAGCAGTGTGATGCCAGCCACCATCAGGACTTACTTTACATACAACATGACCCTACAGTTGGTTTGGAAACACACTTCAACTGCTGTAGTAAACTACTTCAACTGCTGAGCTGCAGTTAAGGAAAAGGTATCTTTCAGTACCAGAGAAAACCAGGTTGTGTTACACTATCTTTAATAAGAGTCTGAATGTACATTTCTAGTGTGTTATGTTCCAACCACATCTCAATGACCATTTTAGCCACACGATGCCTTTAGGAAGCAGTCTTATTTAACCAATGTCTGACTCAAGAGAGAGGGTATCTGATTCAGAAAAGAAAAGAGCCAGAACCAGGACAATGGACCAACACATGCCAAGGCTCTGCCTAGGAACCCTGGTGCTGGCATGGACTGGGAGATCATTAGGCAGGTGAAGAATTAAGTTGACTAGGAAGATGGGACTGAAGGTAGGGAATCCTGCATAGAAGGATTTCTGCCTAAATCTTAAGATTAAGAAAAGCCACCGAAATACCTTCAGTAGTAGAAGACTCAGTAAGATAGAGCCCAGAAAAGTAACTCGCTGCCACAGAAACAAATAAGCCGCAAGTGACAGGTGGGAGAAGACCAAGTGAAGCCAGGATGGAAACCTCACAATCTGTCACACTGCCAATAGTGTCAGCTGCTCTCAAGTACGAAAACTGAGGTGGTTGTGTCTCGTTTGATTCTCCCCTCTCCAGTAAGATGTTCACCATAAGACTTCCATCTTCTTGTTGCTCGCCCCCATCCCCACCCCTTTTTCTTACATCCATTTAACCAATGCAGCTAAACCTCACCCCCTCAAATACTTCCAATTCCAACTGAACCTCTTTAGCCATGCTCCTAACATCTGCCAATCAGAATTTAGTACTCAACATGTCTACCATGCCTTCTAATAAAAATGAGATATGCTTCTTAAAAATATTCAAACAACACAAACATATACCATTATAAAAATGCTCATATTTTCTTCTTGGTTGTCAACTTAAAAGGTCCATATTATTCTACAACCACCTTCTCCCAAAATGAAAGAAAAAGAAATTTTGTTTTAAAAAGGGTTTAGCTGAGCCAAGTAGAAATTATTTTCCTAACTAAGGCTGCTGTAGAGATAGCTCAGTGGGTTAGAGCACTACTGCTAGCCAACCTCCCAAGTTTGTTCCGATATCTGTGCCACTCACACTCCCATGCAAAACTCTCTCTGCCTCCAGGGGATTGATTGTCTATCTTTCCTTGGGCTGTGATCTTGGTCCAGGAGGCACCTTTCTACCATAATAGCTGCAAAACTCAGCCATCAGAGGCCTAGCTCAGATCGCCTCATCCATGAGGCCTCCAGGACACCTTTGTCTTCTTTGTACTGGCATTCCCACCCTCGCTTACAAAGCTCCCAAAGCCAGGCGGTGGTGGCGCACTCCTTTAATCCCAGCACTCGGGAGGCAGAGGCAGGCGGATCTCTGTGAGTTCAAGACCAGGACAGGAACCAAAGCCACAGAGAAACCCTGTCTCGAAAAATCCAAAAAAAAAAAAAAAAATAACAAAAACAAAAACCAAAAAACAAAGCTCCCAGTTGCACGTCTGTTTTCCAGTTTACAATGTCAACTCCCCAGGAGGTACACAAATATCTATGCCATTCATTCATGTGGGGGTTAGTTTTATGTCAACTTGACATAAGCTAGAGTCATTTTGGAAGAGGGAAATCTCAGCTGAGAAAATGCTCCGTCCAGACTGGCTTGTGAGCAAGCCTGTGGTGCACAGTTTCTTGATGGGTAATTGAAATGAGCTAGCACAGCTAAGTGTGGGCGTGGTGGCCCTGGCTGCTATAGGAAAGTAGGCTGAGCAAGCCATAAGAACAAACAGTAAACAGCAGTCATCCATGGCTTTGTTTATCAGTTCCTGCCTTGATGTGACCTGAGTTGGAAACTGAAATAACTCAGTGGAGGTTAATTTGGTATGGAGGCAGATGGGGA